GCAACCCACCTTAGTATCATCTCTGAGTTAACTGAAATGGTTTGATATAAACAACTTTGATTATAGCTCAGGGTAATAAATAGTAGTATTTACAGAAAATAAACACAAGCAAACAATTAATATTTAAAAGCAATTTTTTGGCTAAATGGATTACCTAGAATTCCTTTGGCTTGGCTGTTTTAAGCAGTGTGTCCTTCACTAAATAGTGTGACCCCTTAAATTTCCTCATTCGTGAGCTGAGGGTATACTAAGGCCTGATTCTCAGGGCTGCTTAATAAGAGTTCACTGAGCAGATGCAGCAAAGTCCAGAGCAGATGTTCAACTTTAGTATTTGGGTATTTGCTGGTGGAGAGAGGGCTTAGTCATTTATACAACCCATAGATGGAAAGTGAGAAATCTAGTTTAAAGGGTATGAGAAGTGTGGGGTTGATGTGTTGGTTAATTATATCAGTTGGGGGGCATAGGACCTTGTGCAATGCCCATGAGGGATACCTTCACATGCTATGTCCCCACAGGCACTATAATTCCACAAGGCTTGTTAGGAGCCTGATAAGCATAGATGTACTTACAATGGGTGGACATATTTCAAATTAGGAAAGCCCCAGAAAATTCAGGACCTGGGGTCCTTTGTGTGTGTTGGTACCCCTAAGGGGACCGCAACGTGTTGATGGATCAGGTTTTCGTAGCCTTCAGCTCCTTGGACCTTCCTCAGATCTGAAAACCCCTGCAAACATCTCATTGTGCCATGGTATTCCTTGAGACCAGGCCTTCCACCAAAGGGGATCCCTAATACCTGCTGAGAGTGGTCATGAGAAGGAAACTGGGCCCCAAGTCCTTTGTCTGAGGATGGCTTTCTGCTGTCTAGAACCAGCATTGTCAGTTGCAGAGACCCAGAAGGACCCCTGAAGTTAGTCCTCAATCAATCGCTAATGGGCAGTAGTATATACATACTCCAGCTCCCTTTCTGCTGGATGAGACCACCCTGATGTGAGACCACCCACTGTCCTCAAGAACCTTTTAAGATGGAGCCAAAGTTACCATCAGGAGCCTTTGCTTGAAACTAGAATTGTCTGACCTCCTCCTCTGCTGTGCCACTATTGGTTTCTCTGCCTGATAACCCATTTTCAGAAAAGTCTTTAGCTCTGGGCCTGTTTCTGGGGAACCTGAGCCATGATGCCTCCCAACCTTCCTGCTTGACACCCCGCTTTCACCATTTGAGGTTGATGGTTCTGCCTATGGGTTATTCCTGGAGCCACAGCATCTCCCAGATGGCCCCCACCTGGATGTAAATTCTGCAGAGAAGGAATGATGCCCTTTTGCTATCCACTCCATCCTCTGAGCTTGGGACAGGCTCTGGCATACATGAGTTATTGAATGAATGATTGCTCTTCCCTCTCCATCTTCCTCTTTGTAACTTCCTGTTCATTTCCTTCTACACCAGGGGTAAATCAGGACACAGAAGGGGTGGAGTTCCAACCAGTCCACTAGAACCCTGGCTGGACATGATGGGGAAGTAGCTGACATTGTCGCAACCACTAAAAAAAGTACTGCTCAAGATTTTTCAATTATTCACCACCAAAAAACACCAGTGTGGCTATACATCCAGAATGCAGCTGTTTGCTCTAAATCACAGTTAAGTTCTCACTGAGCAGAAGAGGGTGACTTTAAACATGGTCCTCCAATGATTAATTTATAAACTGCTTCTACTGAAAGGGAAGAGACCAACTTGGCTTTACCTTGGGCAGGCCGTGAAAGGCTGAGTGGACCATGCTGATACAGGTGCTGATGACTCAGTGCAAATTCTAGAGGCACAGACTTGGTTTTTTTTTCCCCTAAATTATATTCCAAGTGATCTTGCAGAGCAAATCCTCTGATGTAACTTTGAATTTAGTATCTTCTTGGAAAAAATAAAAATAATTTTTAAAAGATACACAGAGTGTCTATAGTTATATGGTAGCAGCTGGTGTGGTATATCTTGAAATAGTCATTGTGCTAAGGTCCTGATTTACTTTGTCAGTTGTCTGAAGCCTGTATTGTACTAGATTCTTCAGTGACCTCAAAAGTCATTTAGGGTTAACTAACAAGACAAATGAGAGAAGTGCCATGAAGAATGAAGTTCTTCTTAAGAGTTGTCACCAAGTTTCCTATAGCCCTGGTTAGTTTTAGTATTTGTGTTTTAAGTTTGATTTTTCATCTTTTAAAAATATTTTTAGAGTACTTATTACATAGCAGCAGGTCTACAATGGGGAAGAAAAACCACAATGTGCTAGTTTAGGATACATCAAGTTTAGGATACACTCAGAAGATACACTCACTTTATTTTATATTTTAAAGTATATTTTATTGATTATGCTATCACAGTTGTTTCATTTTTTCCCTTTATTTCCATCCACCTTGCAACCTCTGACCACACATGTTCTTCCCCCACCCCTTATTTAGTTCATGTCCATGGGTCATACATATAAGTTCCTTGGCTTCTCCATTTCCTGTACTCTTCTTAACCTCCCCATGCCTATTTTGTACCTACCATTTATGCTTCTTATTCCCTGTACCATTTCCCCCAGTCTACCCCTTCCCGCGGTCTCTGATAACCCTCCATGTGATCTCTATTTCTGTGATTCTGTTTCTGTTCTAGTTGTTTCTTAGTTTGTTTTTTTAGATTCAGTTGTTGATAGTTGTGAGCTTGTTGTGATTTCACTGTTCATAGTTTTGATCTTCTTCTTTTTCTTAGATAAGTTCCTTTAACATTTCATATAATAAGGGCTTGGTGATGATAAACCCCTTTAACTTGACATTATCTGGGAAGCACTTTATCTGACCTTCCATTCCAAATGACAGCTTTGCTGGATAAAGTAATCTTGGATGTGGCTTCCTGCATTTCATGCCTTTGAATACTTCTTTCCAGCCCTTTCTTGCCTGTAAAGTTTCTTTGGAGAAATCATCTGATAGTCTTATGGGAACCCCTTTGTAGATAACTCTCTTCTTTTCTCTTGCTGCTTTTCAGATTCTCTCCTTATCTTTAATCTTGGGTAATGTGATTATGATGTGCCTTGGGGATTATGTGTGTCCTTGGGTCCAACTTCTTTGGGATTCTCTGAGCTTCCTGGACTTCCTGGAAATCTATTTTCTTTTGCCAGAATGGAAAAGTTCGCCTTCATTATTTTTTCAAATAAGGTTTCAGTCTCTTGCTCTTCCTCTTCTCCTTCTGGCACCTTATGATTTGGATGTTGGAATGTTTAAAGTTGTCCTGGAGGTTCCTAAGCGTCTCCTCCTTTTTTTGAATTCCTGTTTCTTCATTCTGTTCTGGTTGAATGTTTTTTTTCTTCCTTCTGCTCCAAATTGTTGATTTGAGTCCTGGTTTCCTTCTCTTCACTCTTGGTTCCCTGTATATTTTGTTTTATTTCACTTTGCATAGCCTTTACTTTTGCCTCTATTTTGTGACCATTCTCAACCATTTCTGTGAGCATCCTGATTACTAGTGTTTTGAATTCTGCATCTGATAGGATGACTATCCTTCATCGCTTAGTTCTATTTTTGGAGTTTTGATCTGCTCTTCCATTTGGGCCATGTTTCTTTGGGCATGCCTGTTATGTAGTAAGGGGCAGAGCCTTAGGTATTCACCAGGGCAGGGAAACCCATGTTGTTGTGTTGTGGCACTGCATGTTGGAGAGGGGTCAGAGAGGGAACAATGCTACTTGCTTAGCTCTAGCTGGCTTTCAGTCACTTCCCTCACTACCCACAAGCAAATTGGACCCTTCTGGTGCTAATTCCTGGGTGGATGGGTTTGTGTACATTCTAGGACTCTGTGGGTCTCCCCTACAAACTCTTCTCTGAGGCTGGGAGTTTCTCCTTCTACCACAACCCCCACGAGTTTTTATAGCCAGAAGTTTTGGGGCTTTAGTCCCCTAGGCTGGAACCCTGGGTTATGTGGTCTGTCTTGCTCCCCAGTTGTTGCTCCTAGTTTATCCTCATGAAAATGTGAGACTGTCAGCTTCAGCCTTGCCTCACATCCTCTCTGCCTCTCAGGTTGTGTATCTCCATCCCTCCTACCATTCCAGATGAATGTTTCTTCTTTAACTCCTTGCTTGTCAGGCTTCCATACAGTTCCATTTTCTGGCATTTCTGGTTATTTTTGTTTTTATATTTGTTGTTATTATTTTGGTTGTGTGATGGGGGAAGTGTATGTGCCTATGCCTCCATCTTGGCCGACAATCAATATAAATTAGTGAGCTGTGGCACACTTTGAGAAGAGCTGCTCTACAAATACTGTGTCTAATATTCACCAGGAAAGATTCTGTTGAATGGATGGATAGGTGGGCTCAAGAATTTAGACCAAACTTTAGGGTCAGATATAGCCCCTCTCCAGTATGTGGGTAGAGGAGTAATTACACACAAGCCTTCTGCAAAACAAGGCCATATTTTCTCCTCCATTCTCCTTATGGTTCAACCTCTCACCCACTCACACACTTCCAGCCCCCATACATCCCTCTCTTCCCTTTTCCCAAACAGTTTTTTTCCAATCAGAAAAAAAAACCCAAAGACTCAGATGAGAAATAAGTTTAATTTTTTTGTGAATTGATTTGCAAGCTGTATATGTCTAAAATATGCTTATTTCTGTAACCAGAATAATGACTGCATAAAATTTAATCCAGGGAATAACATTTGAGTTTTCACTTTGACAACATGAATGTCAAGGCCTGATTTACCAGGATTTGTTTATTCCTTTTTGTACTCATGCTGAGAAACAAAACTGGGTGTCATATTCTTTTTCTTAGGGCAATACCGAAACCTAAGTTCTTCCTCTTTCTAAGAAGAAGCTGCTCCCTCCCTTTTTATTTTTTTCCTCTGAGTAGAGGAAATTAACATAGCCAAGATTTTTTTTTAAAAAAGGAAAAAAAAGGTGGTCATCTCTGTGCTCCTATTGAAGTGTCTGAAGCTCCCCAAGCCCTAGGCACGCCTCTGCCATTTCCTGATGTCACACTATTTTTGTCTTTGAATAGCTTATTGACACAATTGCTTCGGAGATCGGAGAACTGAAACAGGAGATGGTGCAGACAGATGTCAGCCTGGAAAATGGCCTGGAACTCACTGAAGCCCACAGGTGACAGAGGCGATTAGGTACTGGGTGCGAGATGGGAGCTAAGTGAACCCTATTAGCTTTGAGGACTGCCATTTCCGTGGCTCCTCAAGTTTGGGAACTGGGACTGTGGTGGCCACTCCAGATCAAACTCTGGAGGAGGTGGGAGTGGCCCAGGAACCAGTTGTCTGCTTGGTTATTTTAATCACTTTGAAGGCACTTGAACTTTATACCCTCTCAATTCCTCCTGGCACCAGAACCCGGAAACCTAAAGTTCTATCTACCATATCCACCTACAAACAGTGATGGAAACAATAACGCAGCTGGATCCTCCGTGTGCAAAGTAGAACTCAGTGTAGCCCGTGTCAGTCTCCAGAAGGTTTAAAGGGGAACTCTAAGAGGATGGACTCATTTTGCATTCTCAGGTCAGAAAACCCCTAGCATTTACCGTAGCCATTAGCCTGAAGTACATCCTAGAGTGTTGGAAATTGGATATGATTGTAAATGATTAAGAAAGGGGAGGCAAATATTGTACTATTGTGCAGTAGTCAGGGTGGGGGTGGCAGGTTGGAGGAGCTTATCAAAACCTCATCCAGCTCTTGGATGGTGTAATTCATTGTTTGCAAAACAACATAATATACTGACTGCTAAACAACATGGACACTTGGTGCTCAAGAGGCCAAATTTGTTATCAGTGTGCCCCTTTTCCCAGGAAATGGGGTTGAGGCTGTCTGTGCAATGTAAGTGTGAGATTCCTGGAGTGGGTTTTGCTTGTAGGTCATGAGGCAGGCAGGAAGAGTCCTGCAAAAGCAGGCAAACCAGCTGGGGCTGTTGTCCAGGCATATTTCAACCTGGCCAGACTTGTTCCCTGCCATAGACTGAGGAAAGAACAAGCAATCCCAAGGAGGCACTTGGCAGCTGTAAGGTGGTGCTTTAACTCCTATGTCTCTAGAGGAACTGTATTCTCCCTTAGCTATCAAAATTCTGCCTTACAGTTCCTTCTCTACAAAATGACAGGGGTAGACCTGATGGTCCCCAAGAAACTTGCAGTAGCACCAGGGAATTCTATGATTCCCTTTTACTTCATATGAATGGCTTGAACTGGTTATTTTTCCCCATAACCTAGACAAATGCATGGTGATTTCTGATTAAAGACTGTGCTCCTATTGAAGTATCCACCTCACATTCAGAGTAGTTCCAAACTCTGTGGAACTTTAGCCAGGAGATTCTCTTTACCCTTAGCATTACTAAGCTAAAAATAAATTGGGAGTCCAAGATGGTGACAAAAGAGTAAAGAAGAGAGCTTTAGTAACACTGACTTCCCCCACATCCAGGAAATACAACACTGCAAAGGGGACCCCAAACTCTCCAGAGGTCCAAGCTCTCCGTTTACCCCTCTAGAGTAATCTCAGTCTCTAACTGCAGTGGGTATTGAGGTGGGTGAGCTGGGCCATCATTTAATGTTTAACATCTCTTTTATTCCTTTTCTTTTTAAATTGGAGAATGGAACTTTATTTTTTCAGATCAATATGTCACTCATTCTTGAATGCTATATTGCTTAACACTGAATTTATGGAATTTCAGAGGCATTTTACTTGGTACTTTTTCAATGGGAAAGACAGAGAAAAGGCAAGATTGTCTTCATTTAACAATGTATATGGTTTTTACAACATGCCAGTCTCTGTTCTAAGAGCACTGCAGCTGCCAACTCATTCAATCTCCTAACTACACTATGAGGCAAAGCTCTGGCATGCCCCTCATTTTACTTATGTGGGACCTGTATGATGTGGTAAAAAGTCTTGCTAATAAGGCTCTGGCTTCTGTGCTGGGGTCTTTTGCTGATTTTTAGAAGTATGGAGAGGTGACTTCATTAATCATTGCTCCATTTTGCCCAATGCTGTCATGAGGGCCAGATAACAGAGAAGTAGGGGAAGGAGGACTTAGCATTCTTTTCACAATGAAAGCAGAGCAGAACTGTGAGTGGCTGCAGGGAAACAGCAGGTCCTACTGGCACAGAGCAGCCCAGAGCCAGGAGGAGAGCAGGCAGGAGAGGAGCAGAGCTGCCTCAAGTTGAAAACACCAGAGAGAGAAGAAGCAGTCAGCCCCTGGGGACCTCAGCTGGGCACATTTCTGGTGGCTGCACAGATGCCTTGAAGTGGCCACCTTTTGTGGCCCCATCTTCAGTGGGGCTGTGAGCTGTGATATGGCTTCTCCCACCCCACCCACAGTCACCAGGATATGTCTGTGGCTGCCCAGTTTGTTGAACACTGGAGTAAGTGTCACAGTGGTGCCCTAGGTTAGAAATCATTATTCCCAACCAGCATTAGTTTTTGGTTGCTTGTGGGGGAACCTTTGCGAGCAAGTCCCCCCATCTGCCATGGATGGAAATAAAACTACGAAAATATGATCTGCTTGAGGAGGAGAGGTGGTCAATCTCTCAGAGGAGAAGGACCAAGAGACCCTTCCTCAATGGCTTTTATTAGGGTTGTAATACACAAGAGTACAGGTAAAGCTCATTAATCAATGTCAGGCAGCAAAGATCAAACAATAGATAACATTTCAAAGAAATCTGAGGGCTTAATCTGAGTCAGTGTCTGTCAGGTAAGGGGGTTGCAGAAACTTTGCAACCCCAGAACCTGCTCTAGCGGGCAGAGGACTTCACCACCCTCTCCATCTTAGGTTTTTAGGCTCAAGTGGATGAGAGCCAGAAAACACTTCTCCCAGACGGAAATAGGGACTCAAGCTATGTCAAAATAACTGGAGGGTGAGGGTCCATTACTCCCTCTTTGATGCAGCCTCCTGAGTCCTTCCTTGAGGGCCTCCCAAGTGATCATGTCTGGTTAGATTGACCCCCCTCTGAGGGGTCATACCCATCATTGACTAACTGACCATGCATTGGGGACAGAGATGAATGAAGCAGCGCTGCTGCCAGGGAGATAAGCTTTGTCTCCTTAGTGGCTCACAGTCCGAAAGTTGTTCACTCAGCCTTATCCAAGAGGAGTGTGTACAACTCCCGAAACCGGGCAGAGCAGTTCCCAACAGTTGCTCTGTCGTGGTTGATGTTAAGATGACCTTGAGATCTGAAACCTTCTCTTGTGTCATGGACCCCTTCTCAGAATAATATTTTAAATGTATAAAATAAAATATGTAGGAGGACATGGGGGAAACAGTGATAGTGAAATACAATGATTAGAATGTAAAAATGTGTGATTTCATAGCACAGGTACTTCGTTATTAACACATCAAGTAATGAGGTCTTGCAATAGGTCAAGAAACTGACATCCTCTGAAAGCAGAGAAGAAAATGAAAAATACTTCAGCACCAATAATGGAAACATCTAGAGTTTTGGTTGGTGACAAAGTTTCTTCAGCTGCTGAAGAAACTAAGATTTTTTTGCCTGCATTTAAAATGGGAATAAGTGAACTTCAAAACCAGGTTAGGGAAAGTGCAGGTATCACTTTTATCCATCCAATAGTCTGTTCCCACTTTGCATCATCTGACACGGTGGATCCACCTCCCTTCCTGGGACATTCGCCTGGCTTGGCTTGGCTTGGCTTGGCTTGGCTTGGCTTGGCTTGGCTTGGCTTGGCTTGGCTTGGCTTCGCTTCGCTTCCCTTCGCTTTGCTTATGGGATGCCATGATCCCTGCTTTCCTCTCACCTCACCAGCTGCTGCTTCTAGGCTCCTTCACCTCCTACCCCTGGATCACCCAGAGCTCCATCCTTGAGTCTCTTCACAACTCCCTTCTTTCCACCACAAACCTTGGACAAGATACTTAAAAAAATCTCAGTGCCTCAGTGTCCACATGAATAAAATGAGGATGATGATAGAGTTTCTAGGAAGATTGAGTGCATAGCTATGAAGGACTTCACAACATGCTGGCACAAGGTAAAGACAACACATCATTTACATTGTTTAGTAAACATCGTTTACTAAAAAAGATCTATATATAAATTTCCTAGGTAATTCCATCCAGTCTTGTGGCATTAATACCATCTGTGTATTGATGATGCCCAGCTTACAGCCCTAGGCTGGTCCTCTCTTTGAATCCCGATGTTGACTTCTAGCTGCCCGCTCAGCCTGACCTTTAGTGTCTCAAATTTAAAAGAACAAGACTGAACTTCTAGTTTCCCTTCACAAACCTGCCTCTTCCCTGGTGTTTCCTATCCCAATAACCACTCCTCCAAGTGCTTGGGCCCACAGTCATCCCTGATGCCTCCGCTTCTTTCATAACTGTCCTCCTGTTCATCTCTAAGTCCTGGCATCTCTACTTTCACATTAGATCCAGGATTGGACCACTTCTCACCAGCACCACTGTAGTATACACCCTGTCTCTGCTTTCACCTGTTCTACCTTCTCTAAGCAGTATAGAGAATGATCTGAGTTAGGTTAATTTCAATCCAAGTCAAAGCCCATTAGTAGTGTTTAATAGAAAACCAAAATCATCCATGGTCTTCAAGACCCTACAGGATATGACTCCTCATATCCTCTCACCAACTCTTCTTTTGCAATCTCTACTCCTTCATCACTCTGCTTCACCACCTTCTCGCTGAGCAGGCTGCCACCTCCCTCCCAGCCTTTGTACTTGCTGTTTCCTCTGCCTGGAGTGTACTTCCTCCAGGAAGCATTGGCTCTTGGACCTCCCTTCTTTCTGTCACCTTAGCTGGCTTTCTTTTTCTTTACGTAACTTGTAGAGATCTGGCACATATTCACTTGCTTAATTGTGCATTTTCTGCCTAACAGCACTAGATGGTTGTTGTAGACCACTCTGCCTAGTTTTAGGAATTATATCTCTACCCCTTGTGGCTAAGGGTGAGAGACGGCCTTCGGAATGCAAGCCACAGGAGCCAGAGCTTGTCTCTGGTAGCAAACGCTGCCTCAATTCCTCTCCCTGCCCCCAAAGCTTGGTCGGAAGTCAATGATGGGTAAGACCCCCTCACAGCAGGGGGCAACCTGAGCCAGACTTGATCACTTGAGAGGCCTTCATGGAAGGACTCAGGGGGCTGCAACAGAGAGCAATGGACT